CCATAGCTACCATAGCACTAGCTGTGGACCCATAGCTACCATAGCACTAGCTGTGGACCCATAGCTATCATAGCACTAGCTGTGGACCCATAGCTACCATAGCACTAGCTGTGGACCCATAGCTACCATAGCACTAGCTGTGGACCCATAGCTACCATAGCACTAGCTGTGGACCCATAGCTACCATAGCACTAGCTGTGGACCCATAGCTACCATAGCACTAGCTGTGGACCCATAGCTACCATAGCACTAGCTGTGGACCCATAGCTACCATAGCACTAGCTGTGGACCCATAGCTACCATAGCACTAGCTGTGGACCCATAGCTACCATAGCACTAGCTGTGGACCCATAGCTACCATAGCACTAGCTGTGGACCCATAGCTACCATAGCACTAGCTGTGGACCCATAGCTACCATAGCACTAGCTGTGGACCCATAGCTACCATAGCACTAGCTGTGGACCCATAGCTACCATAGCACTAGCTGTGGACCCATAGCTACCATAGCACTAGCTGTGGACCCATAGCTACCATAGCACTAGCTGTGGACCCATAGCTACCATAGCACTAGCTGTGGACCCATAGCTAATCTTGTGTCTTTAGTCTCATAGTATTTTTAATTATACTATAGACTAGAAATCTGACGTTAAAGTTGTTATCTCATCATTGAAACTCAGTAACCAATAATATGTTTAATAAATACCCAGTAACCCACCAAACTGAAACGATTGGGTTGATGTTGGTTTCCCCAGGATTTAGGTCACTTGACTATACACAACTCAGGTGGCAGTCATTTTCTTACTAGATTTGAAACTGACATTCAAGTGACAGTGTTATTTTAATATGTCATCTACTGCTTGTTTGGACAGAAATATGGGTTGTCATCTATAGAAAACAGGATGTTTCTATTTCACTTTAGAAAAAAAAACATAAAATACTTCAACTCACACAAAGTCTGCAACAAATATTTTAGAACGCTTTGCAAAGAAATCATGACACTGCTAGTGGAAAACGTAATGTGTTATAAAACACAAAATGCATGACTTATTCAGGCATTAGTGTACATTTCTCCATGAGGCTGTAAGGTACCAAATATACCTATTTTCATTGGCATACAAATACAGCGTTGTGAAACATTGTATTTCGGGTCCTACTATTTAACGCCCGGACACGCGAGGGAGTGTCCGGGGACGCGCGGAGGCGAACAGGGGGGAATACCTACGCGCGGGGCAGCGGCAGCAATCCTTGTACTGTATAATATTCGTTTATGCTCATAATTTGAACTGGGGTGGCGAATTCGAGCAGCTATCCACACTTTTTATGATCGACGCCCGGGCATTCCGGCGAGTCGAGTCCGCCACGTTGTTTACTAATTTTGGTTAGCGTTTAACAATAGGACAATACCATTCGATCCATGGGGGTGACAGTCCTACGAATGTGCCGACATTGTCGAAGGACAAGGACAGGAAAAGTTTGTGCTAGTGTGGCGAGACTCCCGTAGTTACGTGGAAATTATTTACCTCATGTGAAAAAAAAGCATTTTCGAGCATATGTATCGAGACCAAACATAATTTGTCGATAATCGAGTGTTGCAAGAAAAAGTGAGATTGTCGCAAAATGTAGCAAATCGTTTTCAAAACAGTGCCGCTAAGAAAGTCTCGCTTTGTTTGCGCCCACTGTAAAACATGTATAGTAAACAAACCGCCCTTTTAGAAAATATTTTTATTTAAAATAAGTACAAGTCAACTAAAACGAAAATTAAAACATGTATAGTAAATAGACAGACACCCCGCCCTTGTGGAAAATATTTTTATTCAAAATTATTCAAAGTACAAGTCAACTAAAACGAAAATTAAAACATGTATAGTAAATAGACAAATAACACCGAATAAACGGCAAGGTAAAGACTATGTCTAATTATAGTAAATACGTACTGCGTGCGTGACTCGAACCGGCGCTCGCGTACGGCACCTAATCGCCTAGCTTCACGCCACTACACGTCTTCCCCTCGGCCACCGGGCATCCCCAAAAAAGGATGCTTAAAGGATGCTTAAAGGATGCTTAGTCTTTACCTTGCCGTTTATTCGGTGTTATTTGCTTACTTTACTTCCTATGTCGACAGCAACTATGAGTTTATAGTAAATAGACAGACAGGTTTGGAAAAGATCGATCACGGGGCGTGTATACAGAAAACTACTGGTACGTAGCTCGCCAACTGGGCTTGGGATCTCTCGATCGCGTCAAGTAGTCATTCATTCGCAAACGTGAATTCGTACAGCGGGCGATGAACTAAACTTGACCTTTCGATGTGTCGCTTCCAAGGCGTTGTGATACTCTCTTTATTACTACTACCTATATCCATGCTATATTTAATAAAAGTGGGAACGTCATTCAGTTTCATTGTTAACGGCAGGTTACACTAGCGCACCAGAAGCATGTGTGCGAATAGAGGTCATAGCCGTCGCATCGCGATTTTATAGTAGCTCACATACCGGACTCACACCCTGCTCGGGGATCATGTGGTCTGTGTTACGAGCCCGGCCGTTACAAATTGGTCTGGGATCAGCTTGTAAATAATCTACTGTAACTATACACTGCACAAACAAACTACAAGAGATTCCATAAAATAGAAATACAAGGTGGCGTTTATCACGCCATTAATTTATTCAAGACCTTTTGTTACCTGTTATAGTTCCAAACAGAAACAACAAATGCTTTGTCTCTCGACGCAACTCGCCCTGGTTATGTAAATGTTTTCCCTTACCATCAGGCTCCAAGCCGGAACAAATGACAACCTTTTTTTTCTGAATTACACAAGTTCATCATATTTGGTATGTCATGTTTATTTGAAGAAAAAAAACGTGCCTTGCTTGGGTTGAACCACAGTTAGAATCTTACTAAACAATACTACGGGAGTCTCGCCACACTTGCACAAACTTGTCCTGTCCTTGTCCTTCGACAATGTCGGCACATTCGTAGGACTGTCACCCCCATGTATCGAATGGTATTGTCCTATTGTTAAACGCAAACCAAAATTAGTAGTAAACAACATGGCGGACTCGACTCGCCGGAATGCCCGGGCGTCGATCATAAAAAGTGTGGATAGCTGCTCGAATTCGCCACTCCGGTTCAAATTTTGAGCATAAACAAATATTATACAGTACAAGGATTGCTGCCGCTGCCCCGCGCGTTAGGTATTCCCCCCTGTTCGCCTCCGCGCGTGCCCGGACACTCCCTCGCGTGTCCGGGCGTTAAATAGTAGGACCGTTGTATTTCTTCTATTAGAAGGGTCTGTGCTTATGTGCATTACAGGTGTCTTTCTATTGAGAAAATAAGTCATAATTGTTTGTTGTTACATTTTGACTTCTTAAAACCTTCAGTACTGTAAAATCTGTATTAGAAGCCGCAACTACTATTAAAATGGTACAATGCAACAGAGGGGATGCAACTTCTATTGGAGCATCTACACGTATGAGAAATAATGAATTTTTGGTTCTCAATTGTTCAAAACGAATAGGTGTGACTTCTATTAGGGATGTGGCTTCTAATACAGATTTTACAGTACATGTATGGGTTTTATACTCACTACAAATGTACCTAGGCTGGTTCTCCCAGGTTTTTACATTTTGTGAAGAATATTTTTGTCATTTTTATTAACAAATGTTATTTTTGTTGTAGGATCTTAAATTAACTGATACATAGCCATCGGCCCAAAACAGTAAATACAAAATATTTAAATTATTTACAATATTTCATCGGCTTCCCTCCTAAGTTTCATAGCATTAAATACAAACTCAGCTAAACGCTGTAGAAGTACATCATTTTGAGTTTTCAGTAATTCGATAAATTTATTTACAGTTGGTGGGGTGCAGTAGTAGTGTGGGATATAGAGACATCTAATGTGGTTATAAAAATTACAAACTACTAAAAAAATGGAACTCGTTTTTCAATAGAATTCATATTGCAAAGCTCGCACATATGTTGATCTCTTTCAAGATGACCTCTGTCTTTTTCAATTCGTAAACAATGTGATGAACATCGTAGCCGAGATAGTGATTGCATATGGGTTCGAATGTGAACAGAAAACAAATATCTTTCTGGTTCTATGTTAGTTTTAAATTGGCAGCAAGTATCTACAGTGTGTAACTTGTCTAAAGTACACAAGTCAGCCCGTCATACCAAAGAAAGATACTGTTTGAATCGCTCTACAAATGTATTTATAAACACATTAACATTTCCAAATGTTATTTTTGACTTCTTCTTAAAAATAACTAGCCCAATTACTTCAGATTTTATAAGTACAAACCTTGGGTGAACCTCTTACAGATTTTCTCATTTCGTAATCATAAGTTATAATTTTAGTGAATATTTTTGGTAAAAAAAACTATTTCCAACTGTCTAACTGTCCATCAGATTTATATCAGCCAACAGACTGCTTGTTAAATGATTGAGCATACAACAAATACAAGTTATGGTTTATATGCATATCTATTGGAAGGGTGCTTCCAATAGAGCAAAAACAACAGGTGTTATGTAGGTATTTGTGGGTACCTCACAGACCTTTAAAGATATTAAAAGGTCCTGCCTTATATGTACTGTAATGTATCATATGACCATTTTGTGAAGAGAAACATGGTATGATATTTTTTAATAACTTTTATTTTATTCTCATTAACAGACAATTGGAGCTTCTTTCTTTCTTAAACAATGGGGGCCATATAACGTGGCAATTTGGGTAAGTTTTTTAAACTTAAATCATTCCTAAAATTTGGGTTTAATTCCTGTAAATCTTTTTCCACTATTTTAGTTTTGTGAGTTGTTCAGAAACATAATTGAATCTGTGTTTTATTTCCTTTTTAACAATGTGTCGAACACGATGCTTGCCAAATAATTAAACCTACTCAAGTATTTAATACTTCTGGAATCAATATCTGGGGAAAAAAATTAAAGCACCAAAAATTTCAAATCAAATGCACCAAAAAATACTAGGAGCTAAATTACGTTTGAAACTCCTTTACCAACTGAAATGGAGATGATACAATTTAAAGCAGTCTTCATATAATAAAACGATTTTTTTCTTTTTGAAGGATACTGCGGGAGAAGAAAAATTCTCCACATTGAGTTCCTTCTATTGTAGGAACGCATCAGCGGCCATCTTGGCTTACGATATTTGTGACAGAGAAACATTTGACAGTTTACAGACACGCCATCTTCCTCTCCTGGAAGCTGCTGAGAAAAACTGTCTTGCTGTTGCTGTGGGAACCAAACTTGATCTAGTTTCTCCAACATCCCGTCAGGTTTCAAATGATGCAGGAGAACAGTTTGCTGTTTTGTCGAATCCTGACAAGTTCAAAGAGGGCTGTGATAGCAAACAACGTATACCTTTCTTTGAAACAAGTTCTCTAACTGGGGAAAATATAGACAATGTATTCCTCTATATATTCAGCACACTCTTGCCGCTAGATCGTGAAGGAAACGCAATTGATCCCAATGCAGGCAGGAAACGACCATCCGGGGTGGTGGATCTGGATACCAGTCATCCTCAGCCACAGCAGCAACAGAGCTCTCCCTCAGGATCACCACCGCCACCAATGGGTACAAGGCAACATCGTTGTTGTTAAGTGCATTTAGTTTTAAAGGGTTGTCATCTTCACTACATGCATTTGAATGAATACATTCAAATTTTGTGTATGAATCGCATGAATGGTCAGAAAAATCAACCCCCTGTAAAGTTCTCCAAACTTAGAGCATGTCACTGATGGCACACTTTTAGAATTCATAGGTGTCGTTTTATTGTGACAATACATTTCCTTTTACTGTATTTGCTCTAACAATAGAAATGCATGTAGACCAACAGTTGCATGTATTATATACTGAATAATTAAAATATCTCTTTTACCTAAGCACATGTGCTATGAATAGAATGCAGTTATTCCACTTAATCGTTTGTAAAGTAATACCATACACATTCTGAAAACTTAGTTGTTTCTGAAGTGATCAATCTGCTGTAGGTAGTTAGTAATTGCAGTAGGCCACCACCAATAGGTGATTTGACGTTCATCATGGGATCTCATGAATTGCTTGGCACAGATCGAATGTCTGTCACAAAAGTCAAATGATTTAATTTTGAACTTGAATATCTTTTTTTTTATAGCTCACTGTCAAAATGCTGATCTTTCAGAAAGGAATACGGCATTGGGATAACCTTATTTCATCAAAATCGACCATCATCACATGTGGATCACATATTATTAAGCGGGGAAATGGCCAAAATTACTTTCACATTTGTCGAATCCCATAATATATTTTGATGCAACTGCGATGCTTTGACCTTTGTTTGTCCTGTTTCAATATAAGAAGGAATTGGAATAACTTCTGATTG